GGGAGTAGAAAGTGAACCGGAACATGCCACACCCACACCCCAATTCTTCAATCAACTGGCCGCCAGCAATGATACATCCATCCGTCCTTGGGGATGCACTCCCCGGAATGAAACACCCTTTATATTTGTGCACATTGGAAAGGTAAGAAAAATGTCAAGTACGAAGTTTGTGTTGGGTTTTGTGTCAATAATCTTACCATTTCAAGACTTCTCTTTCATTATTAGGCTGGTGGAGGTGGTGTTAGATCACGGATGGCAGCAGCAGCCTTGGAATACAACCGAACTGGATGGCATCGCACTCATCAAGATCCAAACTACTATTATCCTGTCTACGATGAGTTTGGGGAAATGCACAAAGGAAAATTCTGGTCATCCACTTATCCCAGTTGGATTCCACAATCATTGCCACAGTTCCATGGCGAGTTTCAGTATGAGGGATTTGGATTTTGTGGTGCCACCACACCACTTGGATCTGCCATTGCCTGTCCCAATGAACAGGTCCCTGAGTTTTGCAAGGACTATGACAATGATACCGTCAGTGAGACTCGTTGTGATCTGGTCTATGTGGGGCACAATGTGTTGGGGAGTGAAATGCACTGGTTGCCAACCTCCTATCTGGTCAATTGGTGGAACCACTCACTATGGGGACAAGACCGAGAGAGCCACTTTGTGACACAATTATTGGAAGAAAGGAATCTTCAGGTTGTCAAGAAGTGGCATGTACCCAACAAAGTCAAGGAGATTGTGGGTGGAGAAAGAAAACTTCCAAAGATTAACTGCGAGAAAGGTCCCTACCACTACCGCGACTTGAGACGAAATTACAAACGATGCTTTCAACCCAAAGAAGCAGTGGTGGATAAAGTCTACCATCACATTATGGGCCATGATGATCCAATGCAGGCAGCTCGTCTTACGGCCAGTCTTCCACTTATGCGAGTCACAGTGCTGAGAGAACCATTTACATGGCTGCTATCCAAATTCTTTTGGCACCCACAGCATTGGTCACGAAACAACACTGAGGTGGTCCCAGATAAAGGCCTAGGGAGCAACAATCAGCGCAAGAGAATAGACAAAGAAAAGGGGCGGGTGACGCCCCCATTTATCAAATGTGATGATTTGGAGGAAGCAGCCGGATGGGTAGAGAATCGTGCCATGTCCTACCTGTTCTACCTATGTGGAGAACACTGCATGGGTGCCTGGGCTACTGGGACACTTTCCATGGAAGATTTGGAACGACAAGGTGCCTACAATCTAAGAAATTCTTTTGCTGTGGTGGGTTTGCTTCATAAAACTGATGAGTTCTATCAAATGGTGAAGCATCGGGTATTCTACATGGACACCTCCTTGAATCCAGATGTTGTTGGCAAATCACACCAAACCAGCACTATGCCAGAATCCAAAAGATGCAAAAATGTCTACAAGGATACTACTTTCCAGGAAGTGTTGCTGTCCAAGTCACCAGCTTTGAGAGCATTGAATCGATTGTACAATATTGCAGTGGAAGTCAATGAGTTCCAGAAGCAAGAAATGCTTCAGTGTGGCTACGAGATTACTCCCACTGTCACGAGTGAACCATCTCTTAAGAAAGTGAGTAGTACTCCAGCCAAGCAAGGAAATGAAGGAGGGAAAATAGGAGAAACACAACAAGGGCAAACGCAAGACCGGGACAAAGTTTTGACACCGGACAAAGTTTTGACACCGGTGGCTGAAGAGGCCAAACAAAGAAGATCAGTGGAAGAAGAATCCAAAAAGAATCCACAGCCACCAACACGAAAACCACAGCCAAAGATTTTGAACAAGGTTCATGTGGAAAGTGAACCAGAGAAATCGGCAGCTACACCACAATTCTTCAATCAGCTTGCTGCAGGCCATGACAAATCGATCCGTCAGTGGGGTTGTACACCAAGGAATGAAACACCCTTCATCTTTGTTCATATAGGAAAGGTATGAAAAAGACACAGCAATTTGTCTGTTTACTCGTTTTTGTGTTGTACACCAATCTAACTGATGATGATGTCACCATTCCTGCAGGCTGGTGGAGGTGGTGTGCGATCTCGTATGGCAGCAGCAGCATTGGATTACAATCGCAGTGGATGGCATCGTATCCACGAGGATCCAAACTACTATTATCCCGTCTACGATGAGAATGGGCAAATGCACAAGGGCAAGTTCTTGGCTTCGATTTACCCCAGTTGGTTGCCCAAATCACAGCCACAGTTCCACAGTGAATTTGAGTATGAGGGGTATGGATTCTGTGGTGCCACCACACCACTAGGATCCGCCATTGCCTGTCCCAATGAACAGGTCCCTGAGTTTTGCATGGACCATGACAATGATACTGTCAGCGAGACTCGTTGTGATCTGGTCTACATGGGGCACAATGTGCTGGGGAGCGAACTGCATTGGTTACCAACCTCTTACCTTGTCAATTGGTGGAACCATTCCTTGTGGGGATTGGACCCAGAGAGCCAATTTGTGGCACAATTATTGGAAGAACGACATCTTCAAGTTGTGAAGAAATGGCAGGTACCCGACAAAGTCAAGGAGATTGTAGGCGGAGAAACGAAACTCCCCAAAATTCGCTGCGAGAAAGGCCCCTATCACTACCGCGACCTGAAACGAAATTACAAACGATGCTTTGAACCCAAAGAAGCTGTTGTGGATAAAGTCTACCATCATGTTATGGGCCATGATGATCCCATGCAGGCAGCTCGTCTTACTGCCAGTCTTCCTGTCATTCGTGTCACTGTCCTGCGAGAGCCCTTCACATGGCTACTATCCAAATTCTTTTGGCATCCACAGCATTGGTTAAACAACAATACAGTTGTGGTCCCTGAGAGTGGACCATACCGCAACAATCGACGCAAGGAAGTGGACAAACAAAAGAACCGTACCACTCCACCTTTTGTGAAGTGTGATGATTTGGAGGTAGCAGGCGGATGGGTAGAGAATCGTGCCTTGTCATACATGTTCTATCTTTGCGGGGAGCATTGCATGGGGGCTTGGGGTGCTGGGACACTTTCCATGGAAGATTTGGAACGACAGAGTTCGTACAATCTTAAGAATTCTTTTGCTGTTGTGGGTTTGCTCCATAAGACCGATGAGTTTTTCCAAATGGTGAAACACCGAGTGTTTTACATGGATACTTCCTTGAATCCAGACGTTGTTGGCAAGCCTCATAAAACCAGTAATCTGCTGGAAGCCAGAAGGTGCAAAGATATCTGGAAGAATAATACATTTCAAGAAGAGTTGCTGTCCAAGTCTCCAGCATTGAGAGCCTTGAATCGGTTGTACAATGTTGGAGTGGAAGTAAATGAGTTCCAGAAGCAAGAAATGCTTCAGTGTGGCTATGAGATTACTCCCACTCTCACTAGTTCGGGGTGAGGGGGCAAGGATGCAAGAACCGAGAGCATTGATTCAAGAAACGACAGCAACAAACCTCGGAACATGGGAGTGCCTTGTTGACGACGGTCGCTGCTTGGACAGCAAATCTCACTCCGATACCGGTACACCCCGATTCGATTCCGCTGGATGCTTCCGAAAGGGAATAACAGCCAATTTGTGCCGCGGCATGGGGCGCACGAGGTTGACACTTGTAGCTTCAGCGTAAACGTTTTGTTCGTACGCTTGTGCATCTTATCGCTACCGTTGCCCAGAGACCGTTGCCCAGAGGCTATCTATCTATGTACCATCTGTCTATTCCGTAGATAATCCACCTACTGTAAAGAACCCCGTCATCAATCTTACGGTTGGGCTGTCAGTACCGGTACGAGAACGACAGTCGGAAGACACAGCTACAGCATCAAACAAACGCCGATACAAAGTCTTTTTTATTCCAGTTATTGGGGATGCAATCCCAGAACAACAAATCATGTGCTTCAAACCCCTCGTGATCCATGTTCCGTTTCACTGTTTTCCTCGTCCTGCGTCAATTTCTAACGACGTCCAGCCCGTCGATTGCGATAATTGCGGTACGTGTACCATTCCGAGTAACTGCTGGTATCCCGTTCCCCGGTTGTCCTTGCAATTGTCCCAAGTTGGCATATCCATCCTCCGCGTTACTCTTGGCACTTTCGTCTGCTTGTTCTTCTTCTTGCCATGCTGACCGGCAATTGGGACAGGTGGTATTATGTTTATTGGCCCGTTTCCAATGGTTCATGCAAGCGGCATGAAAGTTGGCGCCACAGACGGCCCGACAAAAGACCAAGTCTTGGTTACAGGCCATTTCATCAAAACAAATGGCGCAATCTCCTTCGATCTGTTGTCGCTTATTACTGTCATTTTCTGGGGATGCTGCTGCTGGTGTATCCGTTTTGGCGGCCGGAGACGTCATTTCCTGATATGCCTTTTGGACACGGGCATTGGCCATGACGCGAGGACCGACGGAATTCCGGCGCAGTTGGAGTTGCTGGGTGATTTCTTCCAGCTCGCTGGTCAATAGCGCCGTTTGATAAATCAGAGGAGACGTATCCGGCAACCCAATCACCTTGAGCATGACGAATAAAATGTGTTTGCAGACATTGCCCTTGGCATGATCGGGACAAGAACAATGCACCAACTTGGAAATTTTGACCGTGTACAAGTTGCCCGTGGATCCCATGACGCAAAACTTGTGGCCATTGTCATCTTCTTGGGGACGATCGACCAGAAACAGACGCTGCGTCTTGGCACGTTGAATGCGCTGTCGGACGGCTCCCGAGCACGTGGTGCGATAGCGTTTCAAGCGCTTTTCATCTGAGGATGCGGCCGCTCGCTTCTTGTTGGCAGCCACGGGCGGAGCCTTTTTCTTGGCAGGAGGAGCTTTCTTCTTAATTGGGACTGGTGAATCATCACCCGTCAAGTCAATCGTAACTCCCGCAACCTCGGAACCACGGGCTTGTACGTATCGCGCACGAAGCACAGCCGTTGTACCCGTCGCGGACAAACCCTTCGATTTCAGATACTGCTGAAGAGACTTTCGATCCTTCGATTCAGACTCGGCTTCCAGCGAGACAGGATCACTCATTGTCTACTAGCTACGGTAGCTGAAACTGTATCTATCTCTGTCTTACCTCACTCACAAGCACGACAATCAATGGCAGAAATACTGGTGCTAGACTAGTACCGTAGGCGAGTTGGGAGGTGTGTGACAAGATCTTGTCAAAAGCGAAGACCCAATGAGCTGGCTAAGCTATCTGCACATCCAGGCAAAAAGGACAAAGCCGCCGCTGCCAAGTCCAAAAAATTCGCATACATGTAGAACTCGGGCCTCTTTGTCATCTATCCGGGCTCCCGAGCGATCGATTTGAACAAACCGCTCCTTGTTGGCCCTGAGAAAGTGTCTAGGTAAACGTCTCAAAGCCTTGACCGAGCAAAAATAAATATCAACTTTAAAAGCAATAACTACTGTATGCAGTGGGAGCTTTCTCTCCCACCAACCTACCGGTACTTTTTCCACTCAACTTCCACTTTATTCGGTGACAACGGTAACATTGGCTAGATCCTCCTCCTCAATTCGGGCTCCTCTGCTGCCATCCATAAAGCAATGAAAACGAGGATTTTTCCAGCGCAAAATCACACCAGGTTTCATTCCGGGAATACGCCGGCTGTTCGTATAGGCCGTCACCCGTTCGATTTGGCCTGTCCTATCTTTGCATTGGAATACTTGACGCATCATGGACTCGTCTTGCATCACTCGGACTTCCAAAGTCTTTCCATCAACGGGTCTCCCCTGGTGAGCTTCGACTTGTGCCCACGTCAGAGTTTTCATGCCTTTGGGTTCCTTGTCGGTGGGCTTGCAAACGAGCTTGTGTGCCTTCCAAGCAGTTTTTTGACAGTTCCTGCTGCAGTACGATGTCAATTTGCAAATGGAGCAACATGCCATCTTCTTGTCGCTGGCTTTGCCACAAAACGCACACGTGTATTTATCGGCGCGTGGCTTATTATCGTCAGCCCGCTGAGGCGGCGGAGCCACAAACTGGTCGTACAATCGTTGTGTTTCCGGTCCACCAAATTGCATAACCTGTTGACCTGGGTTTTCTCGCTGCCATGCTTGACCAATGGTGCGTAGCTCTGCAGCATGACGGTGTTCTTTCATCAATGCCTTGCGAAAGGCTTCATTGGCTGCTTGAGCGTCGGCGTTTTCTCTGGCGAAATTCCATTTTTGAAGCAATTCGAGCTGAAACTGACGATTTTGTTCATAGACAGGATGACCAGGTCCCATGCCCATTTCACTTTCCATTCTTCTCAAGGCCACATCACTGGAGACGAAATCCTCGGCAGCCTTCTCCAAATCAGTTCTGGGTTTGCGAAGTCCAGCTTCCTCTTCTACCATCCGATTGATGTCTTCGAAATCCATGCAGCATTCATGGCAGAGACCACGGCGGTGACTGTTGCAAAACATCCGCCCAACGTCATCATAATAGGTCTGTGCCATGGTGGACAGCTCTTAGCGTCGTCCTTCCCTTCCATGTATGCATACATGTAGTACTGCTAAAAACGGCTATTGGGTTTTGCCGTTCTCCTTGGATCTTTTGTTTGGCTTGCAAATCTTTCTGGGTGGAAACGTCGGCATAGTTGATTGGCCCTAACTCTATTGGCTGGATGAATGGGGTGCGTGAGTATACCGTATGCACGTGCCGTTTAGCAAACAGTCCGGATTATCCTTGGCAAGTCAAGGCATGGGGGTACCATACCTAGTAGCTAGAATGTGCATCAATGCTGATCTCTGCCAAGAGAACCGGCTCCAGAATTTGGCACAATTGGCAAGCTGAATCTAACGACACAGAGACACGTTGATGTTCTTTGATCGTCAAGGTCAACCGTGCATTGTGCATGTACAGGGCCGGCTGCAGCGACAGTAAAGGGGTGCCTATTAGGAATAAACTGAAAGTCAAATTTACTTTTGGTTTGTGCAGCGATCATTCTGTGGTCGCTTTCCAAGGATCAACACTTGCAACGATACCGGTAGACAGGGAAACTGGAAATGCACCGGTGGAACCACTGAATGACCCTTGGCCTGGTACAGTACTTCTATCTCTTTCTTCTGTAGTCGCCCAAACTGGGACGCCCCAGAAAAATTTATCTGGATCAATACATGTATAATGGAAGATGAAAAGAAGCTTGCCTGTTCGAAGTTCGCATAGCAATCGTGTGGCGACCTCTCACTTTCAGCTTGGAATAGGAAGCCACTGGTTGCAACCGATGAACTGGTCAGACATGTGGTTTGGCCAGGGCAGTGAACGAGGCTGTCATTGTCATGCCTATTTTCCCCAGTGCACGTGGCGATACTACATGTATTAACCATTCTTCCGGTTGCCAAAGACAACGACCGCGATTTGACCATCAGTGGATTCTCTGAGTGCCGAACACACTAATGATTATCGTTTTCGTCGACAATCTTTTTTTCGATTGCATCCCACATCGACTCGACTCGAGTGACAGCCTTGTTGCACTGAGCTCTCCGGGCAAACGTTTGTACGTTCATGTACTGAAATTTGCTCAATTCGTAACCCCCAAAGCCTGACTTTGGATGTTTCACTGCCGTATTGAGAGACACGAGCCAACTCTAGCTTCCAACTTTCACGTTTGGCAGCTGGAAATGGCAGCCTTGCAAAACAAGAAAAGTACCTCCGCAAGGGAGTTTTTGTCGCTTCATTTTCCATCAAATCGAATCGCGGAGACTGCCGGCACGCTGATCTGCTCTCCTCATCAGCTCACGGCAGCAACTTCTGGTGTTGGACAATTCGTAGGGAGAATAGATAGAGGTCCAACTGGTAGAGTTGGCGGACAAACTCTTTCACTCCTTTCGTGAATCAAGTATCGACACTTGCTCCAAATCCGATTCTTCTGCTGTGTATTGCAAATTTGATTCTTCTGGAGGTACAATGTCGGTTTCCTCTCGAGGTGGAGACTCTTCCTCCTTGCATTCCTCTTGGATTGCCGAGACAGCAGGGCCATTTCTCCCTTGATGCTGGGAACTTCCTCTTGCTCCACCGTGTCCCGAGGCTCTTCCTGGAGTATTGTCGTTTCTCATCGATCGCAAATAAGTGCAACAGAAGATGCTTCGCAAGACCCGACCTTCGGGTGTTTTCATGGGGCTTCGTAGTCGTGCAAATACCAAAAAGTTGAGGGTACCAGCAGATGGTACAAAGATTCCATAGGCAAAATCATCAAAGACTTCATTCCATGTTCCAGATATTGCATATTGTAACATGGAAACAAAGGGAAAGAAGTAGGTCACCAAGAAGGCGAGCATATAGAACATGCCTTGTCTGGCACTGTGGTAGCAAGCAAAGAGACCAATTTAGCTCATCAAACACGTGCATTCGTTCCATCCATCACGACAATGGCTGACCTACCAGCAAGCGATTTCTGTCGATTTACTGCGGAGTTTCGCTGCGATTGAGTATGGTGGCTGTGTTGCGTGTTGCTGTTGATGGACGATCTAGCTGACGTGTGGTGACCACTGCTTGGGTTGTGTATGGATGCGGCGTATTTCCTGCTCATATTCTCGACTTGCCTCACCTACAGGTACGTTATAACAGCAAGGCAAATGTTGTGAGAGACTGGTCCCTTGGAAACGAAACAACCCAAGGTGCTAACTGACTAGAGACGCACCTTTACAAAGATTGAAATCATGATTCCCACACTCAAGCACATGGATAAGAATGGCAACAAAGCAAGCACAAATAGGTGGATTGTAGTGTCGGATCCTCGGATACACTCGTCTCCAGAGCAAATCTCTGGTATAGATTCCAGGAAACAAACCTCCAATCCAAAATTGTAAAGATCCAACGGTAGGGGGTATATGGCCTCCACAGCGCGGGCCTAATCCTCAGATAGAGATTTCTCCATCCAAGTGTTTGAATGATAGAGGAGTTGTCCTCATTGTCAGAGTCTCTGATTTGCCGTGGCAAATGTTGCGAAGTTTGCAAGGTGTTGTACGAGTATCGTCGATCTCGTTTCTTCGTCATTGTCGACGAAGGAAGAATGGTTTGTCACGCACTGTTTCTCGAAGTTGCGGAACGCATGCTTTCCTTGAGCCATCTTCATGGTGAAGGAATAGGTTGAGGGTAGCTGAAAGCTATTTGTTTTGTTAACAAAATGCACTACGCTAAAAGCTAGTGTAAAGATCTTTCAAGTGTTTTGAGTTTGAGAGAATGAAAGTTATGAAGAGATTAGAAAGCTATGAAAACTAATCAACGAGAGAGATCATCATCAAGGATCGTATCTGGCTTCCGCGGGAGACTATAAAGTGTGATAGAGTAGGTTGTCGGTAGTAATCCTACGTCTCTCCACGATCCTAAAACGAAACGCGTGGAAGGTTTGTCTAGCCTGGATCTAGTAGCGTGGAGTACTCCACGCTGGCTAAAATATCTAGAGCGATGTTCATCATCACCTAGTATGACTAGCGGTTATTAGAACCCTGTCTCAAAACAATGCACGAGAGAGCGCCCGAGGTATGCTGTATATCGTCGCAGCGAGCGTAGTCACTGACGCATATGACAGGTGCAGATCGGAAATGACTATTCACGAGAGACTCAGTCATGAGTCGAACTCAAACCCTATCTAGGATCGAGTCGCGAATAAGGCTAAGAGCCGTGTATTGCATTCATCATCTGGTGGAGACATCTTGGAAGAGTATCACGTTGAAGCAGCTCTACTACAGGGGTTACTAGAACCAATATTCCAACAATACAAAGGGCTAATATAGCTGGGATGATAGTGCCTGTGCCTCCGTGTGCACTCGAGAAATCTGGGTGTCGCTGGTGTCAGGGGATGAGCAAACTTGCCCATGGCTCTGTGTGAATTTGTTAGAGCGTTTTTGTAAACATTGTGTGCACTTAGCCAATCTTTTACTTTGGCTGTTTTTCTCTATTGGATTTGATTGGATCGCATTGAATTAGATTGGATTGCATTGAATTACAGTTTACTATATAAATAACAGTACTATTTGGAATCCAATTCAATCCAATTCAATCCAATTCAATGCAATCCAATCCAATGCAATCCAATTAAATTTATCTTCTGGCAAAAATACGAATTTCGTCTTTTTAACTGATTTTGGCGAGTTTTACTCCATTACAATACAGGCCTATTGCAAGATTTGCCCATCCCCTCAGGACTGCCCGAAGACCCGTGGGAATCGGTTGGGTCACGAATATCTCCCTCCAACAGTTCCTCGCCTCGTCATTCTCAACAAGAAGCCTCCGGTTGCGCCAACCACGGAAATTGAAATGAGGGCTGTCAGTTGCTTGGCCAACTGGCATGGGCTTGCTTTACTAGCAAGCCGGCGATAGGGAAACCTAGCAGCACTGCTTCCAGCCAGAGCTATCCTGACTTCACCCAGTTAGGATTAGCTAGCTACCAAGCAACTCTTCCAGCTAGTGATGTGGCTCCGTGGCAGTTCTCCCAGCCAGCTCCTTCCCAGCCAATGATACCATAGTCCTAGCAGTTCTTCTAAAACTAGCTCCATCCCCAGTTCCCAGGCAGTGACAGCCCTAGCCATCCTCTCAGATCTTCTCCAACTTCCATCATAATACCCAGTTCCAGTCACAGTACCATGGCTCTGCTAAACTACCATACTTGGACCCGGAACCGTACCCTACCAAGCTAGTAGAGCTACTAGTATTGGGATCTCGAACTGTACTGTACCAAGCTAAAGCTACTGGTACCAAGACCTGGAACGGTACTTTACCAAGCTAAAGCTACTAGTACCCGGAACCGGAACCGTACCTCACCATGCTAAACTCTGTCAGATCTTCTCCAACTTCCATCATAATACCCAGTTCCAGTCACAGTACCATGGCTCTGCTAAACTACCATACCTGGACCCGGAACCGTACCTTACCAAGCTAGAGCTACTAGTATCGGGACCTGGAACTGTACTAGTACTGTACCAAGCTAAAGCTACTAGTACCAGGACCTGGAACCGGAACCGGAACCGTACCTCACCATGCTAAAGCTACAGTGCTGGTACGGCTCTGTACTGAAGGCAGCTCTGAAGGCTCAAACCTGTGATAACCTGTAACCCTAAAAACGTTACGACGACAGACGAAAAACTAAAATTACATAGTCTAACCTAGCCAACTTCATGGTTGGCGAAAATAATGAACATGGACGATCGAGAAACCAACACACCACAGCAATAGCTTACCCAGCCAACTGTGTAGTCAATAATATTGGGTACATTGTACTGACTGCAACCATGGGACGCTGCAACAATCGTAGAACCCAGCAAGCAGCTCAGGAGTTGCGTAACACTCCGTCTCGAGCTCGGTTTTCTTCAGGACCTCCCAATAAACGCAAGGGCAAGGGTGGCAGAGGAGGTGGCCGTGGTGGTGGTAGGGGAAACAGTAATAATAATACTGCCGCCAAAACTTCGGTGGTGGAAAAGTTATCCAAGCGAGTGGAGCAAAAGCAGGCGCCACAATCCACCACCAAAATCACGACGAGACGTCATCCCCTGGCCAATGTGGATATCAGCAAGTTGGATGAACTGGTTCTGCCCGAAGAGTCGCTGCAAGAAGTGATGAAGCTCTTGTCCGATCTCAACGTCAAGGTGGTAGAATCAGTGACACAACAACAAAAAACGGCACTTCCTCGGACTGACAGTAGTGAAATATCTCTGGTGCCTACGGAGCAAGAAGAAGACGACAGCCTGAATGGCGAGGAGGAGGATGACATGGAATCTGGCTGGAGTCCACCACTTCTAGAGTCAACAACAACAACCATCAAAGAACCACAATCGACTGAGAGACGGACAGGAGGAGGTGGTGGTTATTCCGAATATGAAGATGATGGTGCCGAAGAATATCTACATGCATATGGTCCGTCTGATGTGGATGAAACAGCGTGGGATGATATTATAGAGGAAGCAGACCCACAAGTCAGGAGACTTGCTCAAGCCAAGGCACGCTTCCAGAGGGATCCTGTTTTCATTCACTTGTATTCTCGCTTGTCATTTTCGGAGGAAACAGCTCTGAAGGCATGTCTAGCTATTGAAGACATGATATCCGACAACCCACAAGACGACAGCAAATCTTCATCATCAGCAGCAGCCGACGCCAAGTTGGGAATCGGAGACCCAATTGAGCGAAAACGACAAGGAGAAAAGATGGCACTTGCCATGGATTGGTTGTGTTTGCACTTGGACGAAGAAGAGCTTACACAAGGATTCAAAACAAACGCAAAAATGACATCACCCATCATTCTCATGGGAACGGGGAGGACCAAGCCCATTCCTCACCCGTCCATTTCTGTGGCAAAGAAGATAACCACGGATAGAGATTGGAAAAAGGGCATTTTGACACAAGAGAAAGTGATGAAGTTTCTTGCTCTGGGATTCCAACATGGGGAAGCCTATGATGCTTTCAAACAATATACAGTGGAAGAGCTAGAAGGAGAATCCTCCTCGGCAAAGAAGGCACTGGATGATGACGGTGCATTGAGAATGTTGTTGTCTTCTCTAGAGAAAGAAACCATGGAAACAGACGGAATTGCTACGGAGGATGCTGTAGAACACACCAAGGGGGACCTGGACTATGCAGCTTCCGAACGCGCCGAAGAGGAGGAAGCACTTGCTGCCATTTACGACGATCAGTTTCAGATTGACAAGGGCGGCAAGAATAACACTGCTCCAGGTGAATACCGCTATCGGATTGCGATCACTCCTTCAGAGCCACTTCGAGAACCGGCACGGTCAGATAACTGCACCCTGCATGTCTTTGTGAGGCCCGGCTATCCTGCCTTTGAAACACCATTACTCTTGTTCCACAACCCAACATTGCCACCATCACTCTTGCGTCGCATCAATGTAGAGCTGATTCGCCAAGTACAGCAGACCATGGGGGCGCCGGCCATCTTTGAGGTTGTCAACTATCTCTCATCCGAGCTTGCATCGTTGCAGCAAGACTTTACAAAAGAACAGCGATCCAAGGAAATGGAAGCGGAACAACTACGTTTACGACGCGAGGCTGGCCATGTGATTGATGAGGAGGAATATGACTCGGAAGCCAAGCTAGGGAGGCGACAACGAGCAAAGCTCAAGGCGGCAGCCAAGGCCTTTGACCAGCCAGAGCAAGCACAACAGGCCGAGGTGGAACGACAGCAACGGCAAATGCAACGCATTGAACGAATCAAAGTAGAAGATAAAAACATTCGACAATCAATGGCCGAGAGGGCGATCGAGAAACGAGAGAAGGAACGCCAGGAACAGGAGATTCAGGCTGTCTACAGAGCTGCCATGAGCGATTCATTGAATAGTGGCGATTCGGTCGAGAAGGCGCGAGAAGCTGCTGCCAAAGCCAAAACGGAGTATCTTCGTGAGCATGGGCTTCTGAAGGAAGAGGAACCAAAGCCAAATGAAACTGAAACTGTAAAAGTATCTCAGGGTGGACAGATTGACAAAGATGGTGGGGGAAATGATGGGGATACCAATGGGGAAGAAAAGAAGGAAGACATGCCCAACTCAACTCCAACAACTGCGGCCTTCATGGAGCGTTTGAGAGAAATGTACGCTGCAGCGGCCAAAGATAAAGCCGAGGGCAAAGATCCGAAAGCTCGGTCTTCAAAAGGAAAGAAGAAACAAGATCTGGATGCGTACCATTTGAACCCTCCCCAACTGCATGATTCGGCAGCAGAAGACACCACTGAAGTGCTTGATGAAGGGTTGCGGTTTCCTAGACCGGTGGCAGTACCGGTCGGCGATCTAGCTCGGGTCATGGAGGACGTTATCGCAACTCAGAAAGATCAACCGTGGCTAGTGGCATCTGAGGCCAGAGCCCCGGACACCACTTCGGCCGAGACGGATGATCACAAATCAACACAAAAGTGTCGCGACCTTAGCCGCCAGCTGAAAGACGAGAACCAAAGAAAGTACAAAGCAGCAACAGCATGGAGACAAAAGAATGGCTCAGGTACAGGCAATAGGTCGCACGGAGGGAAGAAGGGTTTCTCCCCTCAACAATTTGACAAAATGCTTTCGCAACGGGAGCGGTAAGTCCTGCTTCTAAGCACTGTTCACAAGGATTGATTGCACTTGGCATTTCCTCTTACCCCGCAACTTGTTTTTAAAAGGCTTCCTGCCTTTTTTATGAAAGACAACATCATCAACACGATTGCGGAGAACCAAGTTACCGTAGTAGCTGGTGATACAGGCTGCGGGAGTAAGTACTCGACTGCCCTCTACTCATGTTGCAGTTTCCTTCATTCCCCCTAACACGAATCACAACTACTCAAATCCAGAAGTACGTCCTCTGGCACATGATGCACTAAACTGTTTGCTTCCGTTGTTGCTCAACCAAATGTTCATTTGCAAACCTCCCAGACAACCCAAGTGCCACAGCTGGTTCTTGACTCACTGATTGACCACAATCGAGGCGCCGAAGCAAACATCATTGTTACGCAGCCAAGGCGCATTAGTGCTATTGGTGTCTCAGAGCGCATTGCTGATGAACGTTGCGAACGTGTGGGAGAGACATGTGGATACTCCATCATGCTGGAAAGGAAAACCTCACGAAAGACACGATTGCTTTTGTGTACTACAGGAATCCTGCTACGGCGCCTTCAATGTGACCCTGACCTTGCATCAGTCTCACATGTCTTTGTAGATGAGGTGCACGAGCGCGATCTCAATACAGGTAGGAAGGAATGTTTACGGTAGGGATGCAACGAAAGCATGATTCATGCTAACATCTGTACTGCTTCTGGTGTGGTTCCCAGATTTCCTTCTCATTATTCTAAGAGAGCTATTGAGCCGGAGAAAGTCTCTGAAACTGGTGTTGATGTCCGCAACGTTGAACGCAGAAGCCTTCTCAGACTACTTTGGTGGGTGCGCCATCATCTCCATCCCGGGTCGAGCTCATCCTGTGAAAGAGTACAGGCTTGAAGACGTCTTACAACTGACTGAATACGAGGTAGAAGAAGGCTCTGATTATGCTTTGAAGGAGAAGGAGCCAAAGAAGTTTTCGAAGTCTGCGCTCAGAAAGATGTACTATCCGAAATACAGCACGCAAGTCATCCATTCCCTGTCTGTCGTCAACGAGAATGTCATAAACTACGAGCTACTTGCAGAATTGCTAGAGAAGTTATCTCAGAATGAAACCGAAGGAGCTATTCTCGTGTTTATGCCTGGTAAGATTGTATGCAGTTGGTTGGAGGGGACGGCTTGTGTTTCATTCTGACGAAAAATCTTGTCCCGTGTTACTTCAGGTATGATGGAAATCACGAAAGCAATCGAGGAAGTGCACAAGAAGCCCTTCTTTCAGTCTCCAGCGGTACGGATACATCCTTTGCATTCGTCTCTCTCTACCAAGGAGCAAACAGCTGTCTTCGATGTCCCTGAAGCAGGCGTGCGTAAGATTGTAATTGCTACAAATGTAAGTCACGAGCCGCGACACATGGTCTCGACTTTGACACCCTTGTACGACCGCATCGTTACTTCTTCCGTACCTTAACCTCTCTCGTTGCACTGTAGAGTAAGTGGACTTGTACTGGGTTTCGCCTTCGCTTGCTGGAGTGCTTGTTCTCGGCTTGCTAACGTTTTTGCGTTCTAGTTGCCGAAACAAGTATTACAATTGAAGACGTTGTCTTCGTAGTGGACTGTGGCAGGGTGAAAGAGAACAGGAAGGATGAGGTAAACGAAACGCCCACACTAGTGGAATGCTGGGTGAGTCGGGCATCAGCAAAGCAACGCAGAGGAAGAGCTGGCCGTGTCCGACCTGGAGTGGCGTATCACATGTACTCGAGGTTTGTTACATTCTCGCCATGTCTTGTCCCATTCTGTTGGCCCTTTCGCCAGCTTAACAGCAAATCATTCTTCATTCATATCCAGCCACACCTACGAGCATGAAATGCAGGACTATCAGTTACCCGAGATGCTTCGAGTTGGTCTGGAGGATTTGGTCTTGCAGGTAGGTTGCAGTTGTATTGTTTGAAATCACCCTCGAGTTCTGCTATCTGATTTCCGATGTTCCTTGTTGCTTGAACGAACGAATGACAGATCTTGATTTTGGACTTGGGGGAGCCAAGCAACTTTCTCGGCAGAGCCCTCAATCCACCTTCGGAACTATCCATGCGCAATTCACTGAAGCTTTTGGAGGAACTTGGTGCAGTGGAATGTACCTGGAAGGACGATGAAAATGGTGGAGGGATGAAGCTGGAAGAACCCAAGCCATCGTTGCTGCCCATTCAAGAACAAGACGCCCAGACTGTCTCTTGTCGGGACATGGACGTTGCAAGCGAGTTGACGGCTCTGGGTTTTCATTTGGCAACCTTGCCCGTGGATCCGCGCGTGGGAAAGATGATGATATACGGCAGTCTTTTTGGTTGCATCGACCCCGCCTTAACCATCGCGGCTTCAATGTCTGCTAGGAACCCCTTCGTGGCCCCCTTTGACAAGCGCGATGAAGCTGATGCCGCCAGAAAGAACTTTGCCACCGATGGTAGCGACCACCTTGCCATTCTTCAAGCTTTCACTGCATGGAAGGAGAAGCGACGCACCGATGGCGACCGAGCCGCACAGCACTTTATGCGTGACAACTTTTTGAGCCGACAAACCTTGTTCCAAATGGAAGATTTGCGCAAACAATTTGCCAACCTGCTGGTGAGCATTGGGTTCCTCCCTTCCAACTTCCGTTTGGCGGGCGCGAAAGGAGGAAAGAATGGCAACAATGAAAGCCAAGAAGATATTGGCGCGGCAAATGGCAACGCGGACAACATGGCTCTTGTCAAGGCTGTACTATGCGCAGGTTTGTATCCCAACATTATTGTGGCACCTCGTCCGTTGGTTTCTACTTCTCCAGATCGAACGAGTGCAGACAAGGCAGCCGGAGAAGTAGCCTTTCAAAGCCTCAACAAGGGAGATGTCTATCTGCACCCTTGCACGATTGCGTTTCGGGAAAAGAGACTGGAAAGCCGCTACTGCTGCTATCACGAAATGGTCAAGACTAGCAAGACATATGTACGAGATTGCACGACCGTGAGTCCGTTTGCCTTGGTGTTGTTTGGCGGGACTTTGGTCGCCCATCAAGACAAGGGTGTCGTGACGGTGGACGATTGGTTGAAGTTTCGCATCAAGCGACAAGCCGCGACACTGGTAAAGCACTTGCGTGCGCAGATGGAATCCATGCTGCTGCGCAAGATTGTGTCCCCCGAGCTGGAAGTCACGGACAGCCCCATTGGCAAGGCATTGATCCAGTCCATCAGTACATTGTTGCGTCGTGAAAAAGCCGACAAGGCAGTGCGAACGGATGGCGCCGAAATTGTGAGACCCTGGAGGGGAGGAGAAAGAGACCCACAGCAAAATCAGAATCAGCGGAACGGTGGCAGAGGTAGAGGCGGCCGTGGACGAGGACGTGGTGGCAGAGGGCGAGGGCGAGGTTCACGAGGAGGAGGACGAGGACAGTAGCATAGTACAGTAACTCCCAAAAAATTCCAATGGTTCATCCAGCGATAGCCTTTCCCCCTCAGGAATGTTGCAGTAAACGATTGTTGACTCAAGACCACGATTGTGTAGCGATACCGTTTATTGTTACAATTTTGATCCCCATCGTTGCGGGAGCATTTTGGTTTTGGGTATATTCTGCAGGAAAGTTTCACTTGTCCTTTTTGTCCCGCGAACTTCTTTCATTTTTGTCAGCAACTTCATCCTCATCGCCATCAATGACAACGATTTCTTCCTCCTCCACCACATACTCGGTCCCAATAAACGTCTGGACGAGGTGGGCAGCCAAGTAGAACATGGCAATTGAAATGAAGATGACCAAGAGGCGTATTATCGTCATGAACAGTATACTTCCCGCCGAATCCTCGTCCCGCATAGAATCCGCCACTGCTTGGAAGAAGGGCTCGAAATGATTCGCCAGAGCTTGTATCTGTTGTGTACATAGGGGGGGGGGGGCGGGGCATGATTGAGTCGGTATGCATGCGGTAGCTGGTGTTTGAGAAGTTCCTCAAATTTCATGAACCGGCACCGTGGGGACCCACCTGTCGAACTGCAAATCCACCCCAAGTGGTTTCACGCCAGACCTGCAAAGAAAGATCGTAATTGGATGGACACATCGCCTCTGTGAGGTGTAGTGATGGCGTCACAGGCAATTAACCCCGAATCCAAGCAAATCCTACCCTATGCCTCTCAAACATTTCTTCCATTTCCCGCTCATCTACCTCTCTTTGGGCGATATTTTCCATGTACCCCTGGAAATCATCTTCTGGTTTGACGGCCATGGTTCACAGTGCTGCTGCTTCTAAGATTTGTCGGTCACTTCTTTCAGGCAGGAAAGAATGAGTGGCAACCTTCAGAATGGGAAAGCTACAGCTGTACAATCAGAATGGCTCGTCTTGTACATCCATTACTAGTATTTCTGTACCCCCATCGGAAGCCTGAATGTGAATCTCAGTCGAATCTTCTTCCAAACAGTGATAAGGTTAAGGATTAAGGACTCGACTCGCAAGGACACTTTTTGTACCGATACTGGTACCTGGTACGGGTGCTAGTAGTGTCTCTCCCACACATTCACAACGTTCATCAGCAATGCGCTCTGAGACACCAATAGCACTAATGCACCTTGGTTGTGTAACAATGATGTTTACTTCAGCGCCTCGATTGATTGTGGTCAATCAGCGAGTCAAGAACCAGCTGGCGCACTTGGGTTGTCTGGGAGGTTTACAAATAAGATTTGGTTGAGCAACAACGGAAGCAAACAGTTTAGTGCATCATGTGCCAAAGGACATAATTCTGGATTTGAGTAGTTGCAATTGGTGTTAGGGGAAAAGAATGAAACTGCAACATGAGTAGAGCATGGTCAAGTAGCACTGCTTCCTCCAACCTGGTACAGATGTGGATACTCCATCATGCTCTGGAAAGGAAAACCTGACGAAAGACACGATTGCTTTTGTTTACTACAGGAATCCTGCTACGGCACCTTCAATGTGACCCTGGCCTTGCATCAGTCCCGCATGTCTTCGTAGATGAGGTGCATGAGCGCGATCTCAATAACAGGTACGAATGAATGTTTCCGGTACAGATGCAACGAATGCATGACTCACGCTAACATCTGTACTGCTTCTGGTGTGGTTCCCAGATTTCCTGCCTTCTCATTATTCTAGAAAGTCTCTGAAAGCAACGTTGAACGCAGAAGCCTTCTCAGACTACTTTGGTGGGTGCGCCATCATCAGATTCTACCCCAGGTCGAGCTCATCCTGTGAAAGAGTACAGGCTTGAAGAGGACCGGTACGACAGGAGTCCAGTCACCCTACAAGTTGGCTCATCCCTGCCTGCTTGTTTCCAGACCACGACCCTACTAGCTAGTAGATAGTGTTTCTCGGTTACACAGTTAGACTGTATGTTGAACCTCCTTGCTGCTGCTACGTGTTGTTCCTGCTTCCGGTTGTGGGTTGTCAATGACAACAATTGCCTGAGTGTCCATCAAGTGCTGAAACAGCTCCTTCTTTTCCAAAGCACAAAATGAATCTCCTGGTGATAGCCATTGTTTGAGTTCTCGGACTGGGGTCCGTTCCAACTCGTACCAGTAATACCGCGGTTTGCGATTCTTCATTCGCTGTGTTTGACCTCGATTGTAGGATTCATTGTCTGTTGGGAATTCCCATAAGCACAGAGGACAGGTGCAATTTTTGTCCAGCAGCCAGCCCTCAATGCATCGATCGTGATAGATATGAGAACACGGCAAGTGGACAACAGGACACCCCAGTTCCAAATCTTCTTTGCAGAGAGGGCATTCTATGTGTGTTGCAATGTCCTTCTCGTTGACATTCACTTGTGGCAAAGTTTCCAATAGGTATGGCTTGGCGGGTGGTGGGTTCCGGTTGTTGGGAACATGATTGTTGTTGGGAATGTTCTGGTTGACAGGAATCCAAACGTTGGGAATGTTCCGGAAAGATGGTCCTTGGATCCATCCCTTTTGCTGGCAACAGTCAAGGATCCCAATCAGTACAAGCCAAAGAAGAGCACAGAGTTTTGTATCACCCGAGGCATGCTCCATCAGAACATCCAACATCAACAGGAGCAAACCCACGCCAAAAGCAATGGGGAAATGCCGGAATAGCCAAGACGCCCCACCCCGATGTTGCACATTCACCAACACCGCCAGCACCAAGATCGTTCCACTAATCAGAACCAAACCAGCCGATAGCGATACCACTGCCATTTGCTTGTGGAGCATAACCGCCAAGACTCCAACAATAATGGCAACAACAACGACACACCAGCTAGCACAGGTAACCCTGCCAAGGAAGGCACGGAAAACTTCCAACCGTGGATTCGAGTGCACGGCTGTCACCACGAAGAGGACCAATGCCACAACCAATTCGGCACTCATCCATGTGTGTTGCAGAACAAAACAAGTGCCCGTGTAGACACCAATGGCAAACATCATGACAATGAGTACGTTGGGCTTTTTGTCGTCGAGGTGGAATCCAGGAACCATATTTTGCCCTGCTCCAAATAATACGTACATTATTTGATGCAAGTGGTAGTAGAGTAACGAACCGAGAAGAATCGAGAGTGCCAGAAAAATGACAAAGACCTTGTCGAACCCGTGTTGGGTCATATTATGAGTCATGCCATGCCGTGGAAGCAGCCCACAAGAAAGGTGACATTGTCCGCTATGCCTCTCTTGAGTTCGCTGAAAATCCTGTCATGAATTGTTGCAATATGGGTGGTGCCTGACGACCGGCCCAGTAAAGCCGACATTGGTTCAGAATCAGCAGCAAGAGGGCAATGAGGAGGATATTACCCTGGCGGCAGCTCATCAGTGTTGAATCAAGATATGGATAATGTGACATTCGACCCCGTTGATGAATCAGATCCTCCTGCGACAATACCATTGTGCATTGACTAGTCTAAGGATCTAAGAGATGTAAAGTTTGTATTTCCAAATAAGTGAGCAGTTATTGATTATTTTCTAGAATAAGCCTGCTAATTGTAAAGCTGTAAAGCTGAATTGTAAGCTGTATCCCGTCGCACTCCCTTACAGCTGAAAATGAAGCTGGAGCAAGAAACGATAGAGAGAGTCCCCAGCAATGCTGAGGTAATTACCATCCATGAGGAGCTTCCGAATGACAGCAAACGTGGGAGCCGGAAACCCTTAGTGAAAATGTCGGCCCGTTGTTCAGAGTCGGAATATACTTGGCCACGATGCAAAAGAGAGAGATCCAGAATCAATTCATCCTGGCATCTTCAAAGCCCACTGGCTCTCAGGCCAAATTTCCAAAAGACCCTGATCTCCCCTCTTGAAGGAATCTCTAATGGGACACATGCAGACATTTCTTGGCAGCAATGGACAAAGAATTGCCAGCCTTGAAGGCAAAAGGGACTTGGCACATCGTACAACGTTCTTCTATGCCTCCACCTAAAGGCGGTTCCTGAAACATGGGTGCAACGAATTAAGAGGTTACAGACGGACAATTAAATAAGTTCAAATCTAGATGGTGTTGCAGAGGAGTACCTTCAGTCTATGAAGGTGTCGCGTATTCTCCACTTGTTGGTTGGCCACTGTTAGAGCCGGTCTTCTTTTGCGGCTGCACATGGATGGGATTCGAGACAAGTTGATTTTACTCTTGCTTTCGGTCAAAGCCTCAGCCTGTCGACCAGCCACTGTACATGGATTGCCTCAGTACTATCGACCAAAGGTTATGAAGGACAGGACTGTGTTTTGAAATTGACAAGTCCATCTATGGGCAGACCGATTCACCTAAATTATTTTATGAGCATCTATGTCGCGGATGATCCAACTTGGTTTCGAAACCTCGGCAGCAGACCCATGTTGTTTATTCATAAGGAGCATCAACTCATGGTAATTAAATTATTGTGATGACCAAATCTGGCTAGTCCAAGACAATGATCTGATTGAGTCCTATGTTGGGCAGCTCCAGAAACTTGGATAGACCTCACCATGGAAGAAAAAGGTGACATCTTGGATTCCTCGGCATTAATTTTGAAAGACAGGAGACAATGTTAGCTACTCAAAAAGGGCTCATCATTAAAGTCATCGAATATACTGGTATGTCTGACGCTAGCAAGAAGCTTCTCCTGCCGCCACCGATCTCTCGGAGCTGACAAACTGGGGGCCCATTTGAAGAAGAGTGGAGCTATCCAGCTGCAGTTTGGGATGCTGCTTTATATTGCGTCGAACACTGCCCAGACATCACTTTTAGTGTGCACCAGGTGGCACGATTCAGTCACAATCCCAGCATTCCCATGCTCAAGCAATCAAACGTATCATTCGGTATTTGATTGGCACAAGTGACAAGGCATTTGTTTTAGCCCTAAACTTGATCAGGGACTTGATTGTTGGGTCGATGCTGACTTGCCGGATTTATGGATATGAGGATGACAGGATCCGTGTGTCCGTAAGTCTCGCACTGGTTTTTCTTGACTTTGTTTGGGTGCCCTATCATGGTCCAGCAACTACAGACTGACATTACTTTGAGCTCACTGCTGCTGAGTTGTTGCCTTCAGCATGTCAATGAGGGAGCTGCTTCTATGCGGCTTTGCTCAAGGAAATTGGTAGCAAACTGAATATGCCGGTAATTACTGACAGTCTCGTGCGCTCTACAGTGTTCGAAGACAACAAGGTTGCTTGTCTCTTGTGAATGTTCCCAAAATGTCTGCGCGCAACAAGTATTTGGCATTGAAGTACCACTTCTTCAGGTCCAATATCGGGAGTCGAAGG